TTCATTCAGGAGAGTGAGGCTCCGTAGGGATCGTCGTGCCCCATTCCTTCAGCCAGCTCTTTGGAATTCTACGAAAAAGCCAACATCTAGCAAGTCTCCTAGCTGACTCTGAACTCGTCTTACGACCCAGGTGCGCGCTAACCGACGTTAAATTTCCGTGTTAGCCACATCGTACCTTATGGGGCCTCATCCATGTGCTATTATAAGCTGTAGAAAACATAAGAAATAAGGCTTGATGCCAACGATACAGCGGCGTAACATCGTCAATTGAGCATCAATTGAGGCTCGGCCACATTAAAACCAATCAGCTGAATTCTTTGATGAACAGCGGCGTTCTCGACGATATTTTCAGCCACTGAACGTTTGCGTGCAGTAAAAACATTCAATTTTTATCATTATTGTCGTCGTCGTCGTTATTTCGAATTTGCAAGGGGTGCACATGCTGCTGATGTCTCATGTGTGTACGTGCGCATAGATTCCTTTGAAGATTGCACAGACTACTACTTGAGAGTGAACTCTCGTCCGTAGAGCAACCTTTATGCCATCACCCCACAGTGAGATAAGTGAGAAAACCCGTGGAATTACGGTAACGTCAAAGTAAACCGCAACGAATGTTAACATTCTGATCAAATTCAGCGTGAGAAGAAGGAACAGATAGAGGTGGGCACGCAGCAATATATATATTCCTAAGGCAGCTACGACGAGTCGAACATGCGGGCAGACAAGCCAGCCGTCAATCCCGGATAGAGGTCTGCGGAATACTTACCGTACTTGTATTATAACAGCTAAGCAGCCATGCTCGCGCTGTCACTTCTCTCTATTCAGTATGATTAAGTGATTAGTATCAGTGATGCGGTGTCAGTGAATTGCTTTAGGTGAGTGATGTCCGTCGTCGTCGTCGTCGTCGTCGTCGTCGTCGTCGTCGTCGTCGTCGTCGTCGTCGTCGTCGTCGCCGTCGTCGTCGTCGTCGTCGTCGTCGTCGTCGTCGTCGTCGTCGTCGTCGTCGTCGTCGTCGTCGTCGTCGTCGTCGTCGTCGTCGTCGTCGTCGTCGTCGTCGTCGTCGTCGTCGTCGTCGTCGTCGTCGTCGTCGTCGTCGTCGTCGTCGTCGTCGTCGTCGTCGTCGTCGTCGTCGTCGTCGTCGTCGTCGTCGTCGTCGTCGTCGTCGTCGTCGTCGTCGTCGTCGTCGTCGTCGTCGTCGTCGTCGTCGTCGTCGTCGTCGTCGTCGTCGTCGTCGTCGTCGTCGTCGTCGTCGTCGTCGTCGTCGTCGTCGTCGTCGTCGTCGTCGTCGTCGTCGTCGTCGTCGTCGTCGTCGTCGTCGTCGTCGTCGTCGTCGTCGTCGTCGTCGTCGTCGTCGTCGTCGTCGTCGTCGTCGTCGTCGTCGTCGTCGTCGTCGTCGTCGTCGTCGTCGTCGTCGTCGTCGTCGTCGTCGTCGTCGTCGTCGTCGTCGTCGTCGTCGTCGTCGTCGTCGTCGTCGTCGTCGTCGTCGCCGTCGTCGTCGTCGTCGTCGTCGTCGTAATGCCGGCTATACTGCATCCTTCGTTCAGGGCCAATCAGCATGGGCCGAGACCGCTTTGGAGTTTTTGTATCAGAAACAACTCGTCACGCTGGTTGGACGTAACTGTCTGACTAAAGTCAAGGTAGCTGCATGTATATATATGTTTGGTAATGGGTAGGCGGTTGAGCTGCTGATGCCTCGAACATATTTCGAGAGCAATCAGTAGTCTTCTATTTTCTCTGCTGCTCCGGCTGTCGTTTGCTATAGCTAACATATCTTTGCTCGGCTTTTTTGGCGTTTACGTAGTCGACAGCAGAAGTTGTGTCGCGGTGAGATGGCAAACTCAGGAACGCGATGAGCTAGTTGCCACGAGCTGTCGGCTATTAGTTACAGAGGCGCTACGGTTCGAACAGGGGAGCGCGGCCGTGTGCGCGGCAGACGATGAGGAACCCCGACCTTGTCCTTAGGTTCACTGATCCTGTTCTTTTCGTTTCAATGACTTCGTTGACGTCGTCGTCGTCGTCATCATCGATGAAATAAAGTGGACGGCGACTGTCGATCGATACATTTGTGCATCGTTTTACTCTGGCGACGAGCTTCGTTCTGCTTCCAAAATGCCGCCTCCTTTCTCTATCTATCTCCACTGGTCGCTCAGTCCATCCCTGTCGCGTTTCCATTCCCGCGACTTTTCCCAGCGCTTTAACCGCGTCAGGTTCCGTTGCTGCTTCTGCTCGGCTGGTTATTGCCGTTGACATTTTGCCGCTACCGCGCATCGCTAGCAGAAGTAGAGGCAGATTTAACACCGGAGAACGGAGAGGTAAAGAGTCAGGTTTCGAGCAATCACAGCGAAAGGGCCTTTTTCTCGTCTTCTGTTTTGACTGGTGGCTGTCGAACACTTCACGCCACTCTGCACCCGGCTGTCGCCGCGCGAACTACAGACTCCATTGCAGTAGCGGTTAGAGATGGCGGTTGACAGGTCACTATTAGCCACTCAAAATCTCGCAGCGCTACAACGGTGGTGGATTGGTGTAGATTTGAGCATCAACATCATCCCCATCATTGTCCTCATGACCAGCAGCAGCAGCAGCAGCAGCAGAAGCTAAAAGGGAGCTTTTGATCGTCTGTCTCTTTCGATTGCGGTAGCTGTGCATCCCCGGCCGCATCTCGTTTCACTTGGCGTCTAGTGATATCAACCTCCCCTTTGGCTCGTTCGTTCGCTTTCGCGCGCCCTCTTTTTCTATTGAAGTGAACGTACATGATACATTTTGGGATCCGTGTATCTTTATTCTCGTCTGCTTCGCTTCTGTATGCTGGAGATGAGGAACAGCGAAGGAGGGTGGCGGCAACGCTGATTATCGATCACTGAGCACCGCGGACTTGAAGTGACTCGGCACGAAGGCCGAATTGCTTTTCGGGCTTCAGTTGGTATTGTTTATTGGGCTTGATAATGGTGTGGGTTGGTTGAACGTCGCCAAACTGACAGCCCTTCATTCTCCTTGTTGTCCTTCCAGGAGACAAGCCACACAAATGCGAGATCTGCAACAAACGGTTCGCCCTCCCCTGCAACCTGCGAGCCCACGTTAAGACCCACGAAGGTATGATGCAACTTCAGTTTGAGAAAGCCCTCTTAATAAGGGATGGCAAAGTTTCGGGTTATGTATTTATGTCGAATAGACTAAGCTTATTATTATTATTATCGTTTTTATAGCTATTATTGCACTAGATAGTTCCTTTAAGCAGTGCAAACAATGCAGCTTAAATACAATATTTAAGAAACAAATTGTATATGTTTCCGTCGTTACATTGTTGGGCGTTCCCGCAAGCGTATCTTAGTAGCCAGCAATGGTAAACAGTGAAAAACTAATTCGACTTGTATTTCCTATGATTTGCCCTTTTATGAAAATGGTCGCCCGCGCATAGTAAGGGGCAGGGCTCCTAGAGGCCAGAATATGTTGGCAGTCGACGATTAGCACGTCGATCAAGATCAAGACCTGTGCGAAAGCTAGAAAAAAAAAGCTATAATCAAAGTTACGCCTGACACGATTGCTCGATGTTGGCAATAACAACAACAGCGACAGCAGGATGTTCCCCTGGACGTCCTGTCTTGTTCATTTCGGCGCTTCTATGTGCGGGTCCGACATTTCCTGGCTGGCAAAGTCTCTGCCTGCCTACCTGTGTATATCTGTGTGATAGCTTTTAGTTCAAGAGTGGGCAGCCAGCCCGGGAGCGTGCATCACGATCGACCTCGGCAGCCAACCAATTCTGGGTCTATTTCGATTTGCTGCTTGCCGAATTGTTGGATTCAGAACACCATGCGGGGCCAACATGGGTGCCGTTGTTGCGGCTGCCGCCATTTCCTCATCAAGATAACCGTGACAAGATTATCACTATTTACAAAGTTGGACCAACGACATCATTAACGAGCATAGCAACAGCGGCAAATACTACATTGACATTCGTTGGACACTTGTAAGGTGATGGCGTCAACAATTCCAAGCATAGCATGAGTGTTTCAAACTTTTCCAAGAATCATTAACAAAGAAATAGCAAACCATTGACTGGCTGAATTCTCTCCACGTAAGCGAACATTGTATTGTAAGACATTTGACGAGAATAGATCAATGGTCGTTTTAGTTAGTGGCTTTATCATACGCATTGTAAAATCGCTACTCGTGCAGCGTTGACACGAGTGTGTGCGTGCCTGCCTGCCTACCTGCTTGCCTCGTCTGCCACCACTATATTTACTCTCCGCCGTGAGGATCATAAGCAAGACGCGAAGAGGGTTCTTTTTCGTCCACGTCATGCTTCGTGTCTATTGCCTTATGATTAGGCTGTCAACCTTTATGTATCAGTACTGTGTTTCTCCATCGTAATATCGGTAGTCGTAGATGCCCATGCGGTTTACAATAGTTCACACCGCTAGCAGTAATAGTTATATTATTATACGTGTCCTGTGTTTGCCTACATTCCTGTCCAGTACCTAGCCATTCATCATTGATACTTTTGTTTTTGGCTTGTCTTTCTTTGTCGCGTTGCCTTAAGAGCTACCAGGGTTCGCTACTTGTCCATTAGTCAGCAAAACTAGAACGAGCGGCCATTGCGGCAGCATCGGCCGACAACCATCATAATACGAGCTATTGCGAGCAAAAATTATCACTACGATGATGACAGTTCGTCCGCGTATTATCTCGTGTTGGCGGTGCAGCTGCTGGTGTTAGTTCTCTATAATATTTCTATAGGTTGTAGGATGTGTCTACATGTGCGAAGAGTTGTTGTTAAACGTTACTACATTGACGTTTGTTAAACTAGAAATGAAGCAATAAGTTGTTTCGTTTCCCCTCTCTCAAGTGCTTCGCCGTATAGATATAAATCTACGTATTATATGTGTATATGTATGTATTTACATCGCTGTTTACGACCATCCGGCAGTCGGCCAGTCGACAGAGGACCGTCGTATGCGTATCCCGACTACTGCTTGATCGGCTCACTATCTGAAAGACTAACTGGCCCGTTTACTCCAGCTCAGGCCGAACAAATTTTTATTAGGCCAAGAAAAGCTGAGAAGCCAAAAGGAGAATATATAGTTGTTATGTAATCACGTTGCGTCAAAGGCTTGAATAGTTCCATTTAATCTTGAGCCTAAAGTATGCTAACGAGCTTGTACGATGTATAAAATAGTGAATCAGGTGACACATAATGACAATACAATGAAACAGCTTACACTGGGTGAGATGGTCCTGAACCTATTTAGTTCTCTAGGCGATCGAAAATAATATCGCTACTAAATGTTAAATTCCCTCTGGCCACGCGATCTCTATCGATTTCATAACGTATTTATCTGCTCTTGTAGCCGCTCCTGGCTGGTTCTAGCAACCAGCAATCGGTGGCACTGGCTATGTCTTGACGTGAGGATATTCTTCATCCTGACCATGAAGATGATGAGGGGCAGTAAGAGCGAAGGTAACAGAAAATGGAAACGGTACACATACATATACTGGTGTATATATACAGGTACCAGTAGTAAGTACATGGGGGATAGCCGGTAGCAACTACCTCTAGCACGCATGATTCGACATGGTCAAGGACTCACTCACATACACAAAGTAACCGATGCGAGCGTCTATCATACAGGAGCAGTTCCGGCTAGGTGCACATTGTTGGCGTCATTCCTGCCGGTCCTGATGCATACCGTTACCTATCACCCGAACGGCTGTCGCCCGTGCTACGGCAGCTATAGTTATTGTTACTGTGGACGATATTTAAGGCGAAATGTGTGGCTTTTTACCTGCCGGTTGGCATCATCGACTCGAAAAAACTGTCCTAACAGCGCTAAATTTTATGGCTGTGGTTGATGAAATTTTTTTCTTTACCTCATTACGGTCGTTGTCTACTAGTCGCTCAAAACCGCGATGGTTTCTCTAAAGAGAATTGAATCTTTCTTGCCTCGCTCGACTAGCCAATCTTCATCTTAACGAAAAGAGGGCAACTTCTGACCCGATTAATGGTGTCGATGATTTGAGTCCAGTGTCAAATAAGGTTAGCCTCACAAAACAACCACAGGTGTGATCGTTAACATCGCAAATGTATCACAGACAACCTGGATACGGAATGATTGATTCTTCTAACAGTGGCAAATCATTTGCTTTTATCGTTGCAGAACAAAGCCCGTTGGATAAGACACAGTGTCCGCAATGTGACAAATTCCCGTGCGACTGCAAGGACAATGAAAAAGAAAAAGACATTGAGGAGCACTCGAGCGACGGAGCTTCCGATTCAGGCTTCGAAATGAAGGCGGTACGACAAACGGGCGAAGGACGGTCAGATCTCGTTGGCACGGGAGGACCACAGTTCAACCTTTTTAGCAATTTGATGCTGGACCAGATGATGCTCGCTAGCTATCAACAACAGATGAGTGTGTTCATGCCGCCAGCGTTACGAGCGCTTAAAATGTTCCAGGAAGGCGGTTTCGCCTTGCCAACACCACCGTGATCGATCCCCTCTATCGAACAACCTGTGTACTTCACTCTAAAATGCATTGGCTAGTACCAACCTTGGAAGCGTCGGGCCGTTGTCCAAGTTTCTCTACCTTTCATAAATAGGCTTTCTTTTTCAGCTTAACACGATGATCTCCTGCGGACTGAACGCAATGTATCATCCTTATATACAAAGGCTTTTTTAATTACATGCTTGATCAGCCCTCTGTTCCTAAAGTCATGTCGCAGGACTTGTGCAGATAAGTGAACCGGCAGCTCTGCCCTTACAAGTATGACAAAAAGATATAAATACGATAACTCTTTTATAATAACAGTACTACTAGTAAACACTGAGGAAGAGGAAGAAGAGTATGAAACTCGAGTTGCGAGGACATGACGGCACCGTTCGAGAGAGTTTTACGTTACTATCAATCGCGTACATATAGCACGGTACAAAAATAGCAAAAAACTTAGGATACGAGCCATGTCACATCGTCTCTTCACAACGTACGATAAGGGGATGCTGTTATCACTTTATCGGCGTTGGGCTGGGTCGGGCAGCGTTGAGCGGCGTGTCATGGCAGAGAGAACGATGGAACAAACAGATAAAAAAAAAAGATGATGTATGGATGACGCTAGCGAGCTCGATAGCCTCAAGAAAACTCCAACCGATACAAATAAGAAACATGAACAGAATATAACATAATACTAAGACAATATTGATGAGACATATCGAACAGAATCCTATCAGTTGCCCTTTTCGGGGGATGAGTAGGCAGGATAGGATGCTTGGGAGGCGCGCGAATCTTGTACCTTTTATTAATAAAATGTAAATAATAGCGTTGGTGTTGGCGATGATGACACCTTTTCTCCTTGTACAGTCGCATGAATAGGCACTGGCGTACGGAAGCCACGTCAACAAATGATCACGTGAGCAGAAGGAACGTCCAATCTTCATTTTATCATTAGCCAGTCCCTGTTTAGGGTGGGCAAATGGAAGCTTCTTTCACGGTCTGGTGTTGGATCGGATTGTAATCTAGTCTTTCTTCAGTTGTGTAGTAGTGGTAATAATACTGATTAAACTAGCTATAGTAAATATCAGAATGCAGCGTGTGACGATTACGGAGAACGGTGTGGTTAAATATTCGCTACTGGCTGAGTGATATTGAGGTGAACGAAGGTGCTTATTGTATATATGGACTGGGATAGGCAAGATAATAAATTATAAATATATATATATACATA